ATCATTTTTAAGTTTACGATGCTATCGTTTTAAATACATTTTACAACACGTTTAACATTTACAAGACGTACTACAGTAAGACTGCAATATCATTACAATTATTATCATTTTTTTTTTCATTAGCTTCTAGCATTTCACTCTTTCTGCGGCACCACTATTAAATAATTTAATCTTTATGTTTAAGGGATCTTCCACCTCCTATAGGCCCTAGGGCCCCACCAAGTTTCTCGATATGTTACTGCATAATATATAATATTCTTGTTATTGGAATTATTTGGTTGGCCGCGAGCACCTATAGGAGCCACCCATCCTACAAACGTGCGTCCGATTCAAAGACATATTATTATCGTAACACCCGTGAGTGAGTGTAAGAACCGAAATAGGGTAAGATCGAAATTGTACTCGGGATAGAAGAATGAAAATGCACTCGTTCCGATCACTACACGAAACCTATTTATCAACGAATATCCGTGAAAGAATAATAATATTATGTATTTTTAATATCTAAAGTTTATTGTTTTTATATATAACATAGGCGTGTGTCCACGGGGGGTGCAGGGTATATATATTATATAATATAGCTACAATTTATTTAAAAATAATTGTATAAAAACGTATTTATTATTTTTAAATTAATAGACAATAATATGAAAATGATTTTTTTTTTTAAAAATTAATAAATGTCTACAATTTAAAAATTACATAGTTACTGTTCAAAAACAATGGCATAAAAATATGTATTTAAATATATTTCTAAATTGGCTAAGTACTAATAGTGAAATAACGTAGTTGTGTTATTAAATCGATTGACAGTCGACACACCACGTGCCAATTGTCAGCTAAAATGAATAGTTAATGTTGTTAAATGTAGTTAATGATTTGATAGAGTGCAATTTAAACATTGCCTTTTTTTGAACCCAAGCGCAATTCGAACATTTTGGTGTAGGTAAGGTTGCAGCCCCCCCCCACCCCCTTATGATATCGTTGGGGCCGTCGATCACGAATATCGGTCACTTGTTTACAAACAAAATATTATTATAATATCGTTATAATAATATTATTACAAGACGTGTAATACACTGTATGTCAGTCTCGTTAAGACATCGATAGTTTAAATGCACGTGCGGATGTCGTTTGTGTTGCCTATCCATAAGGCATAGTTGAAGCGTGCCACAAAAAATATATTATACCAATCGCCTTCAATATTGTTATTTATTTATTATTATCGGTTATTGCAGACGAGACGGTTGTGTCGATGCGTCGTTATGGTAAATACCGCGGTAAACACGATCAATGGTCGTTTTCGGTTTTAAAACCGCCGTGCACACGCACATTCGGTTACAATTTTGCAATACATTGAAAAGGAAACTCGACAGGGGGACCTATTATTATAATAAGTTAATATTAACAACTCTTCGGAGATCAAAGAGCTCTCCGGGAATAACACTCAACAAGAGAATTTTCCCAAAAGCCAAATCGAAAAACCGACGGCCGACGAGTGTTTTAAACAAAAATCTAAAGGGACCTCGCTACTAGCGCGAATTTTAATTTTAAAGACCTAAAGTTTCGTCGAAATTAAAGTTAGTTTACGTTGTTTGATTTTAATTCGGGAAAAAAGGTATGAATTCATCGGAAAACGTATATATATAGACTGTAACGGAACACTTTGAAAATATTTAATCATATATTATTTAATTTTGCACTGTAATTGAAAACTCGAAAACACGGACTTTATGAAATCATAATTTATTGTAATTAAACTAAAAACGGAAGGTGTTCAGTACGATCTATAGATTTTCAACCTAATCGAAATCTTATTTTCAAAGTTAAAAATTTAAATCAGACCAAATTTAATTTGGTATAGCCGTATAAAATTCGTAAAGTGGACAGTGTATAGGAACAGTTATCGATTTATTGACATGGGGCAACCTAACCTAACCTAAACCTAACCTGGCATGTGCGTACGAATGTCAGCATTCCAGCTCGAGCTGTAAAAACCGTTTACTCGGAGGTCTAACCTGGGCCAAGTGTAGGAATTGCCTAACTGTTTCCCCCTAAAAGAAAATCCATAGCCGGGATAATCATAGACATATTATAAATAAATTGACTGACATTTAAGTCATAAATAATCAGTGTTGTAAAAAATACTTTTAAAAAGTATTTGAGTAATTACTCAAATACTTATAAAATAAAGTATTTAAAATACCACCCAAATACTATCTATTGAAAAGTATTTGAGTATTACTCAAATACTTTTTAGAAGTATTTGAAATAATTTTCAAATACAAAACAAAAAAAATGCGTACGTATACGACATACCTTACCTACCTAATGTTCGTATTATATTTCGCTATGATAATATACTATATTGGTAGGTAGTAGGTACCGAAACGTACCGTTCCAATCGTCGTCGAGTGTCGACGACAAACAGACGGTTTCTCAGAGTAACTAATATTAATTAGCTATTAATAGACGAAAACTAAAACCAATATAGAATTGTTCATAAATAATAAATATATATTATAATATTATTAAGACATTATTATTATTTGACAATGAATAAAAAGTTGAAGGAATAAAAAAAGTATTCAATAAAATAGTATTCAATAGTAAAAAAATGTATTTAAAATACCGTTCAAATACTTCAAAAATAAAAGTATTTGAAAAAGTATTCAATACGGAAAAAAGTATTTGAATACTTTTACTCAAATACTTTTACTCAAATACTTTACAACACTGTAAATAATATCATGGAATAATTTGAGTAATCAATTATTTCCTCCATGCTTGCCCCCAACCGCTTTTATTTCTCTCATCAATGTCGGTTTCATGATTTCTCTCTCTAAGAGCAGTCCATTTATTTATATTATGTCTATGGAATTAATACATTTTCTCTCGTCCCGCCACACAGTCTTACGTAATAACAATATATACACTGCCCCAGTGCGAAAAAAAACGTACAATATTAGAGAATATTTGGAAGACAGTTCGACAAGACTGCATCTGCAGTGACGCTCGCAAAACTCTGTTCGAAATTGCGTTAATTTTGCTAAAGTACAAAACGTATATTATACGTCCGCCGTAACGACATAAGTACACAATAATAATATTATATATTAGGCATGATATCATTATAACGTGAGTGCTGTTTAATTTTTGTAATAACGGGCTACGGTTTTGCCGTACAAAATATCATATTAATATAATATCCATGTACACGCCACCGACTGTAGAAGCCAGTTATAATAATAATAATATTATGTTATTACGAACAACGCACCCGTACCGTCCATTACGAAATGAAAACCCCGAGTTGTAGGTACCGCGAGTGTATAGTGGTTCTGCGTGTGGGTATCAATTATTGTTATTATTATTAGCAGTCATATTTTCGCAACTCGTATAGTAATAATAATTGCGACCGGTAATAATAATTATTATTAGGTATCCATTATGATATATAGACATGTGCACCACGAATCGCGAACGGGGCTGGCAGATCTTTGTGCAAACACCATTTTCACCGACAAAGTTTGAATCGTTTACGATTTGAAAAATTGTTTGCCGATCGACGGTTTAAATTTTACAGCGGCAATCGCACCGAAGTTCCGAAGTCTTAAAATGCATATTATTATAATGTCATATGACGGCGTGCAACTGAAAACTCCGAGTTGCAGGTACAGCGAGTGTATAGTGGTTCTGCGTGTGGGTATCAATTATTGTTATTATTATTAGCAGTCATATTTTCGCAACTCGTATAGTAATAATAATTGCGACCGGTAATAATAATTATTATTAGGTATCCATTATGATATATAGACATGTGCACCACGAATCGCGAACGGGGCTGACAGATCTTTGTGCAAACACCATTGGTGTCATTTCACCGACAAAGTTTGAATTGCTTACGATTTGAAAATTTGTCTGCCGATCGACGGTTTAAATTTTACGGCGGCAATCGCACCGCGAAGTTCCGAAGTCTTAAAATGCATATTATAATATTATATGACGGCGTGCAACCGAAAACCCCGAGTTGTAGGTACAGCGAGTGTAAAGTGGTATCAATTATTGGTTAGGTTATTTGCAGTCGTATTTTCGCAACTCGTATAGTAATAATAATTGCGACCGGTAATAATAATTATTATTAGGTATCTATTATGATATATAGACATGTGCACCACGAATCGCGAACGGGGCTGGCAGATCTTTGCGCAAACACCATTTTCACCGCCAAAGTTCGAACCGTTTACGATTTGAAAAATTGTTTGTCGATCGACGGTTTAAATTTTACCGAAGTTCCGAAGTCTTAAAAAGCATATTATAATATTCTATTTTGACGTGTACCTATATATAATATATAGGTATAATGGGTACCTACAATAATATTACAATATGTGCGTACCGAATCTGGTATTAGTGTTCAATGTGTATAAACAATTACCGCGATAAGTATAGACGTAGTACACACACTCACACGCGGGCGAAATAATAATTGAACGTTAGCCACACACAAATAATAATTATGAGGTCTATACACTGTACCCGCGGTATTATGTAACTCGCGGGTGGCCAATATTACGATGATATCACAATTTATTTTAGAAACGTATTTAAAATTATATTAAGTATATATATAGGCTGTATAGTCTGTTATGTGCTAACAGCAGTGGAGGATTTCCGACATTTATCTGTCGTGAAAAATAATATATTATATTTAAAAGGTAAGTACCTGTTATTTTTATAAATGTATAATTGTAAAAAAATTAAAAAGATAGATTTGAAATAGGTATAGAAATAACCCTGCATGCTAGTCACTAGTGTATATACGCTGTACATAATATAAAATAAATATTTATGTTGGTGTCTGGGGGTGGCTCCAGTACCCCTGTACCCCCTCACCCCTGTAAATCCTCCACTGGCTAACACTGCAATGGAGGTGGACAGGATGTCCGAAAATAAACTATGATAGTAATGATATTATAATATTTTAAGGATCAACTCACTTGCGCTGCTGTTAATGAACCCTTGATATATATCGTTCAAACTGTTCGCATCACTGGACATAACTGAAACATAAAAACGACAAAATTGTTTACTATATACGATAACTTTACTGTATATTATTAAAATATTATTAAGTTGATAACGCGCCGAACGTTGGACGGACACTAATAAGTAATAACTAATAAGTAATATAGGCACGTCAAAGTTCGGCCGTTCGGTGAATAATTGTGTTTGCAAAAACCAAATATATTACATGAACGTGTAAGTCCGAACGCTTAGCGTTTTATATTCTAATTTTCTATACCTCACCGTGTACAGCGGACGTTGACGAATTTACGACAATACATAATAATAATATAATTTCCATTTTTATAAACTACGCACTTTATACCTATCTCCTGTGCACATATTAGGTACACATTATGGTACTTACTGGGAGTTCTACTGCCACGAAAATTCACTCATCCTTATTATTATACTGTAGTAAATTATACACATAACGATGATTTAATATCAATATAACGTAGGCATACCTATTATTATTATATTATGTCGCGTTTATGTTAATTGTTTTGTTTTTTTGGCATTGATATTATCTTAAGTATATTCAATTTCGTACAATATTTTACCGCGCAATCAATTAATGCTTTTCGTGTGCTTTACTAATTATTTGTTTATTAAACGCTAATTTAGCATTTAAAATTAGACGTCCACCGAGTGTCTCGTAACAAGCATTTTGTTAAGACCGTTTAACATAATGATGATGATGCACATGGATAATGTATCGTTGTTAAAAGGTTCGCATTCGTATAATAAACCGCATCAGAGCAACCTTTCGCTCGACCTCGCTGTTTCTGAATAATGTATAATATTATGTATTATGTGCAAGTGCAATGGTGAAAATAATAATGTTTTACTTAATATTATATTATTGTATAATATGTGATGATATCGTTACGATGACTGCTATTATTGTATCCATCCACACAAATGTGGTAATGATGATGATAATAATAATCTTAGTATTTATAAAATAAATAATATAATTAACACCTTATAGTGCTTGTATAGTTGTATATTTCATATTATCAACAAAAGATAAAAAAAAAGTAACACTTTACACGATAATATATTATTATACGAACAACGATTTAAATATTAAATGAACTGTGGAGGTGACGGCCGTCGAACTAATATGTATATTTTTTATAGTGATTAGTACCTATTTAGTAGCTAATTACTAATTATGAACACTAAATTTATTATAATAAACCCACGCTGAAAGAAAGCTTTACGAACTGTTAAATATAAAATAACGTTTTTAAATTATCGACAAGGATTAATACAGCAATTATTTTAAACTACTTTTAATGGATAACATTTTTGCCCGTATTTATAAAATTCATCTTTTCTATATAATAATTATTGTACATTGTGTAACCACCAAGAAGAGGAGGTCTATATAAGAGTTAAATGTCCATTGGTTTTTCTAAGCTGTTTAGTTTAAGATTGTTAAGCCATTAATAATTATATTCTATAAATCGTATACCAACATCACTACATTTTCTGATTTTATGAATGAAAAAAACTAAAGAGAAAGAAGATAAAACACTACAAACCGAAAGAAAAATTGTACACGCCACCTATATACATAGCCGGCAGTCAAAAGTTTAAATTTCATGCCGCACTAACCATTATATAAGTAAAATAAAATTACACTCCATTAATATAAAATGTAAAATTGAATTGTTTAATGTCTTACTAAATTCCGCACTGAACACAATGATGTTGGGCTTTGCAGCCAATGACAGTATTATTTTATTTCATATTATTTAATGCCTGAAGTGTCGTTAATGGAAGGACTCTTGGCTCTTGCTTTCTGCACCCACCCACAATCAACCCGACACCTCTTCGCACAACACTTATTGTAGGTATGTATTATTTTATAGGTTGTGTGGGTAAAAAAAATTAAAGTTTAAAAAAATATCATTTAAATCAGTTACTGGTACTGAGATCCAAAATAAAATTATTTCAACACTCTAATTTATTCATTTTTGTAAAATAATAATGTTGTTGATGATAGGTATTATTGGCGTATGACGATAAAATATGAATCATTTGTCGATCATTAATTACCGAGTTGATTACATGATGCGAGATTATCCGAAAAATTATGTATGCATGTTTATTGTTTTTAAAATTTTTTTTTTAAAATTTGAATAATCTGTATGCAGCAAGAATGCCAATTTTATGATGTTTTTTACGTTGATTGCATGTATAGGTATAGTCATAAAATATATAAACAATCAATTAATTAACAATACCTATAGGTACTCTTATTCTCACATACATTGAATTCATCTAATTTTGAGTTTAATCGTCATTAGGTATAGGTATTCATATTACATAAATAATTATACTGAAACTATGATGGTGTTTTATTATTCACATACGATGTCGGTGTTGTATCAATAAAATATACTCATATTATATTATATTATAACGAATAAGTTTACTTTAATTGCACCTACGACATGACCTTCGATATTCGTAATAATCATTCAAAAAATAAAAATAATAATAATTCTTATATAATGTTTACGAGTATTATACACGTTATAAATAAATTAAAATAACTCATTTACTCGTTAAACACATATACAGCGTATCATGCATGTATATATGTATCATAGGTATATATTATTATAATATGTGTGCATAAAACAATGCGCTGTCAATGCAATTTTTACATTAGCATTGATGTGATATTAATCTGAATTTTTTCTCCACAACAAACATTCATTTATTATATTATTATTATAGTTCTAAAATGCGCTCGGCATGAATATATATATATTTTTTTTAAAAAAAGGTATTTTTTTTTTAACAACGAACACCATTGGTATATAATTAGTTTTTTTTCGTATTGTTATATTTGTAGATTACAATAAAGCTCGTGTATCGAGGTGGATCTCCTTTTGTGTGCAGTGAATATGTTTTATTCTGCGCCGGAGAGAAAAAAAATGCAAATCATTTCAATTTGTAAAAACTGACGTCATATTGATTAATTGAGTTCTCTAGGTTAAGGCTTTATTAAAATGTCCATGATTTGTGGCGAAATTAAAAATATCAAGAATAAACAAAGATAGTCGTATACCCCCAACTATACTTAGACATTTCAAAAACCACAGAACATGATGTTCAACATTTATTGTAAGGTTTTACTTCTTCAGTAATTTTGCAATTAGGAAATGTCATAAATTACTTGTTATATTTGTGTACCTATATAGGAACGTAATATTATATTAAAGTACACATATTTTCATAATAATAAGGAAGACGATTTTTGATAACGATTTTTATTGTTCAGGAAGTTTTAGACTAACCGTGTACAACACAGTTTTATACAAATGATGCGTACATCGTCTTATAAAATGTTAATTCTTATCTCAAGGACTCGAAAAATTAATGTCATACCTATAATTTACGTGGTTTAATAATTGGTCTCGCTGTATTATGAAACTAGAGTTTTAAATTCTCATATACTATTGCAATATTCATAGTTTGTTATTTCGACGAGTAGCGTTTTATAATTCCAGAAAATGTTAATTTTTACGATATCAATTTATATAGATAAACATATTATTGTGTACTATCTTTCGCAGCATTAAAAATGCGTGTCAAAACTAGAATACATCATAATAATCATGTTTTGTAAAATATATCGCCTCTTAAAAAATGCTAATAAAAAGTTTTACGAGTGGTTACTTTATAGTAATTTGATTGCGGGAAGGCCAAAAAATATAAGCCCAAGAATAAGTAATATGCAAAAAAAAAATGATAATAATAACTAATTAAATACTTAATACAGTGTTACAAAAATGTCTCCATATTAGCTAATTAACCATATTTTACTAAATGGTTAACGTACTATCAATTGTTTTAATGAACTATTAGTGTTTGAGAATGAGAGAAAACCGAAAATGGCACCTATTGAAAATTATATGTAGACATGTTGTGTAGAACTTAGTAACTTACATAGAAATTTTTCAAATATAAAAAAGTAAAAATCAATCACGCGAACTATACTCTGAAAGTTTCGAGCTCGTTTTTAATGAGTTTGAAAGGAGTAATCTAAATATCTTATGATAATTACTAAGAGTCTAAACTAGTGAAATATTAATAATAAACATTAACTTTTACACACTGGTATATAATTATAATTTATATATTTCATCTTTGAAAATTATTTGAAAGTTCTATAATGACTATTTATTATTACAAGAATGATTATAGTTTTGTTTAAATTTGTTTCAAATTGACTTATATTATTATTACTATTACACTAGAAGCATTTTCAATTTAAGATAAAAAAAATAATAATACACATAGGTTTGAAATTTGAAATCATTTTAGTAGGTATTCACTATCTTCAGTCTCGTAAACAGTATTATATCTCTGTGGGAGATAAGCCGATAAGTAGATAAGGTTATCGTATCTTCGCATTCGGCGACTGTTGGATGTAATATACTACTTGTCTTAATTTTGGGATCGTGGGTGGATAATTCTGCAAGGACAAACAAATATTATACAAAGAAGGTATTTTCGTTTTAAAACAACAAGGTGAATATTAAAGTACCCTATAGTGCTATTCGGATAATTAGTATTTTTAATTAAATTAGCAGGCATCCAATCAAATCTATTGTTTTGATTTTTGAATTTATAACAAGTGAGCAAAGTACATTAAAACCTTAATAAAACGAATACTTCGATAATTCAGTATTGATCTATTAAGATTACACTAAGGATGTGATTTTAACTGTCATCAGAAAGCTAAGAAAGATGGGACATGAGAACTGTTTAATTAATTTCAATTTGATTAATTGTCAGACAAAAGACACGCAGTTACGCTGTGTCCTTGTAATAGTTTAACAACGCTTTATCGTGTTTCGCAATCCAACCCTATATGCGATATAGTATTTAGAAAATATACTGATCGTTATATACTTAGGGTAAAATAAAATACATTTCTCATAGTAAATATTTGACTTTAAAACTAT